TAACAATACTGTTATAGTTCAAAATAGAAAAACTGATCATTTTCGTCTTAAAAAAACCTTCCGCCACAAAATATAGTCCCTAGCTTAATTCTACTTGAATGGAATTTAATCGCGGTTTTTCATTCAATAAAGTTAAATTTGCCCTGTAGAGTTCAAATTTAATGTTAGAACTTAAAAATGATGCAGAATTTTATAAATAAAGGACCTGACCAAAATACGCTCAAAATCTTATACATGTAACTGTAATCTATGTATTTGATTTTCCCCTTTAATTTTCATATCAATTCTAATTATCAACTAAATTTTTTTCATATTTGTTACTAGATAAAATTTACCTGATCGACACTCCAAAACTGCCAACGATGAATAACTAGACATATAGCTAGATGTGCTAAATGAGCATTGGGATACTTCTTTTTCGTCTCCTGTACAAGATAGATAAGTAATCCTTTTCCTGTTATTATAATCACTGTACATAAGTCCTGTCTGACTTCGTCTCGTCGATACGTATGACATATAAAATCTACAAAAAATAATTCAATTATTGCAAATGAATCTCTCTCTCTCTCTCTCTCTCTCTCTCTCTCTCTCTCTCTCTCTCTCTCTCTCTCTCTCTCTCTCTCTCTCTCTCTCTCTCTCTCTCTCTCTCTCTCTCTCTCTCTCTCTCTCTAAGCCGCAGAACTGTAGTTCTCCGAAAAAATATATTGAATGTCAAACCGGAGAGTATCTGCAGAACAGATCCAAAACCTGTAAAACCCTTCGATTTACGCCGCCATTTTTTGGTCGCTCACTTCGAGATTTATTTCTGGTGCTTTTTCAGAATGATATCTTTCAAAGAACATTCTTTTACCCCAAAATAGGAGTAATATATGTGGTAAATTAACGTATGCTATTTCTTAATCGGGAAAAAGCAAAAAATACAAGTAATAAATCAGAAATTCATGAGCGATCATAATCGGCAATGTAAAGCGAAGATTTTTACGTTTGGATCTGTTGTTCTCTTCTTTATCTGTCCAAATTTCTCAAGCAGAGAGATACAGTTCTGCAGCTAAACGGAGAGCTACAATGAACATTCGTTTAAATTATGTTATTAAAGCGCAGACGGTCGGACAATAAGTCTAAAGGACGGAAGAAGAATTGGCAGATGCAACACATGTCTTAAACGTATGTATGATGGAGTCTTTAAAACATGAAACTTATATTACATGGTATTATTACGTCGTTTCTGATATATCAAGTCGACCGCGCGGCGCCGTGGTTAGAACGTCTGCTCTAGAGTCGCGAAGTAAAGAGTTGATCCTTACGTCGCGGGTTCGAATCCAACTGTGGGACGTGGAGATCGGTCCTTCGGATGAAACCGTTTAAACCGAGGTCCCGTGTCACAGTAAGTGCTCGCACGAAAATGATCCATCTCTGCTCAATGGCTTTTAGTGCCGAGTATATGACAAAATTTGCAGCTCTCCACCGGCAAGTGCCGGCTTCTCCATATGAGTGAAAAACTCCTCGAAGGGACGTTAAACAATGTACAATCAATCAATCTGATTTTTTTCCTAAAATTGGAAAAAAAGTGTTCACTAAAAATAAAAAAAGACTTACGATGGTAAACCCAACTGAGTGCAAATAATTTTAGATTCCTCGTTATCCCAGCTGTAACTGGAAGCGATTAGCATCCATTGTTCCTGATGATACATTTGCAAAACTCCGGTATCCCCGATGAATCTTAGTGATTCTAAAATGTTAACAGTAAATTGTATAATTTGAAGTCTCTATTCTAATTAAACGTTTGAAACTGTGCCCAGTGTACAGACAAACTGTAAGCAAGAAAATTTTCAAAATTATTATAGAAATGTACCTAGTCATTTCATTCTTTCATACAAAAAATTTCCATAAAACGAATTAAAATAAATAAAAGAAAATAACAGAGGGAAAAGAAACACTGCATGATAAAAGCTAGCGATTTTATGAGCATCGCCAACAGTTAGAGCATGACACTTTATTTTCTGATTATTCGGTTTCAAGTTAGGTAAAGGTCCCTTAAAGACCCATAAGAGAAAACCTACCGAAACAGCCCAAATGCTTTCCATAAAAACCGACTCGACAATTACAAACAGGAGTAGTTTCTTGATAGGTACAATAGGAAAACGTATTGTTACAGTTGTGCTGATTTTGGACGCAGTCACATGATGGTCCATAAAATCCCGCTTTGCACAGGCATTCTCCTGTCGTCTGGTTACAGGATTTTGTGTTGTTGTTGTTACAGCTACATGGGACACAGTCAAAAGAAGTCGCATTGAAAAACATCATGTTAGGACAATCTGGAAGAGTTTCAATGGGAGGTTAGAAATACTGTCAAATTCATGTAGTAAATCATGTAGATACATGGTTGTTGATTTGTGGAATAGTAAATTATAAGTTATATCTTGTATATTATATATTTTCGGATGAAAAAATTATATCCATGTGCACAGTGCTTATTATTAAGATTTTGATCATGCATAAGCTAATGTACTGGTGTTGTAGAGTAAGACTTCTCCAAAAGCCCAATTTCCTCCTGGAATCTATACTTCAAAGTAAGATTTCCAATCATTGGAAAATTGTGAGAAAGCTGAATTATATAACAATTTATAGATGGTAAATTGGTCTAATAGAAATCGCAATCCATTGCTTTTTAACAGTGGAAGTTTCCCCGCATACCGATGGTAAAATAAATGTTTGGAATTTCCTCTGATGAAAATTTACTCATTAGCCAATTTTCCGTATGGAATATCGTACTTTAAAGTCTGTTTTCACGGGGGATTGGGAATCTCCCAAAAGTGTCGTTTTTAACGGTAGGGGGAGGATTTTGATAGATGATAATCTACTCTACAACACTAGTTCTAATTGATTCAATTTTTTTTAACTACGTGTACAATGCCAAAAATAGATGTGTCTTTCAGGGGCCGATTGGGGTTTTATTGTGTGAAAACTACAATAAAAAAAAAACTCTTTATTTTTATACCATATATAACTTACATTACCTTCAGTGTACATGCCAAGTTTAAGATCTACCGTCCGGGTATTTTTAGGGACCGTCTCAAAATATAGGTACATTTACTAAATGATTATGTAGGAAATTGCCAAATTTTCGCACTTAACAGCAAATTATTAAAATAACACAATAGACTTTTTGTTGAGACCAAACATTTTGATGAGCAATACTATATTGCACATTATGTGTAAGAAACAAAAAATTCTACCGTCTTGTTTCCTGAGGGGACATCTCATCATGCCAAAAATTAACGAATTTTCCTGTTATTTTAGAGTACTACAAAATGGGGAATACAATGGATTTATCTAAACCGATTTAAAAAAGACGGAGAGATTCTCGATTTCTTTATTTTAAATTTCAAGAACATATATTTAAAACTTTTTCTTTTATAACACATTTATTTCCCCTTCTTTTTGAGCTTCACGTTATCATAACGTCAAAACACACACACACACACACACACACACACACACACACACACACACACACACCCTCTCTCACATACACACACAATAATACGACCTCAGTCTACCCATCAGTGGAAAAATCGTTTTAAAAATCCGTTTTATAGATAGAATTGTAGATAAACTTTTCAACCTCGAATTATAATTGTTTTAAATTAAGTGTAAAGTGCTTTAAGACAGTAAATACGCTTAATTTTACTATGATTCGCGAAATATTGCGCAATAAGAACCCCAGTCGCTCCCCCTTAAATTACGAAAAAGTTTTAATGGGATCGTGTAACACACCCTACCGCTTAAACATGTTGCTGTTTCAGCTTTTGCCCGAGGTAGATAGAAGAAATAGTTATCATCCTCTTTTTTATCACACTTGGTGTAATTGAGACTAAGACGAGAAAACTCGTCTTTCATACACGTAGAATCAACTAATTCGGTATCAGGAGGAACTGCATATGACGACAGTTTATTGTAGAACCTACAAATGAAAGAAACAACATAACAACTTTTTTTCCATTGAACACAGTAGTGATGATGAAACATACTTGAATATCTCCATGCCATTCATATAAAATAAGATGGTTTCAGATGAGTAACTGAAAATAAAGAAAACACTAGGTACAAAATTGAGCTAGAAAGTTCATATATTGCAAATGCCAGGTTCCATTTTATTCTTTAAATATACATTCCGCAATGTTTAACATCTTTTTGTACCCTCCATGCACTGTTGCTTAAATTGTATTTCCTTTTACCCCCAAGGCATGCACCAAGGTCTTTGACAATTTGACAATTGACAATTTGTAGTACTAGTCTACAGTTCAACGACTGACTGACTTGTTATCAAAAAAGATAAATTAATAAATATTTGAAAAGCGAGAAGTTGAATGTGTATTATATATTTTCAACAACAAGCCAATGGGCCTTATAGGTCACCTGAGTATCATGTAACAACTTTTCAACAATTGAATTTTGTTCGTTTTTTAAACCAGAGGCCATGAAATTCAAATTCATAATTTTGATAGCGGCACGATTGCTTATCATTACTATATAGTTAGCATGCTTACTTTGGCTTCTTAATACTAAGAGGTAGATCAGGGTAACAAAGAGAAAATGCATTTCCACTTTATAACCAATTGTGCACCCCATCCAAAAGGAACCACAGTGACTGATCCTGGACAAATATTTCAAAAGTTTGGAAATTTTATCAAATTTTATTTCATAATAAATGGTTCATTAATACCAAAGAGCAGATTTTAAAGCATTAATTCATTATCAGACTATGTACCCCTCCCCTTGTACCCCTGACCCAGGGACCCTCCCTAACAAAAAAATACTATAGTAAACTATAGTTAACTATAGTTTACTATAGTTAACTATAGTAAATCAAAGTTCCAAAGTTTTCACCATAGTAAATCAAAGTTCCAAAGTTTTCACCATGGTAAATCAAAGTTCCAAAGTTTTCACTATAGTAAATCAAAGTTCAAAAGTTTTCACTATAGTGAATCAAAGTTCCAAAGTTTTCGCCATAGTAAATCAAAGTTCCAAAGTTTTCGCCAAAGTAAATTAAAGTTCCAAAGTTTTCACCATAGTAAATCAAAGTTCCAAAGTTTTCACCATAGTAAATCAAAGTTCTAAAGTTTTTGCCATAGTAAATCAAAGTTCCAAAGTTTTCGCTAAAGTAAATCAAAGTTCCAAAGCTTTTACTGTAGTAAATCAAAGTTCCAAAGTTTTCACCATAGTAAATCAAAGTTCCAAAGTTTTTACTATAGTAAATCAAAGTTCCAAATTTTACAATAGTACAATAGGTTTTTGATGTTCATATTAATTTTAATATGCAAGGTAATTAATGTATATGCAATGTTTACATTTAACAGTAAAAAAAAGTGTTGACTGAAGCTAATGAAGAAAATATTTTGATTCTAAATGACGCATAATTAAATAAACATTGCTTATTTATCTGTACAAAAAAACAATTTTAACATCAGAATTCCTTTCTTGTACATTATTCTTTTAGGATACGGGTTGGATTTTTAAAAAAGTTCTCTGAAGCTTTTAAGAATTTTAACTTTGCAATTTATCAAAATGTAAAGAATAGGAAGCACAAACATAATTCCACGGGTTTTACAGTACTCGATCAAATTTCCAAAGTTTTTACTATAGTAAATCAAAGTTCCAAAGTTTTTACTATAGTAAATCAAAGTTCCAAAGTTTTTACTATAGTAAATCAAAGTTCCAAAGTTTTTACCATAGTAAATCAAAGTTCCAAAGTTTTTACTATAGTAAATCAAAGTTCCAAAGTTTTTGCCATAGTAAATCAAAGTTCCAAAGTTTTTACTATAGTAAATCAAAGTTTCAAAGTTTTCGCCATAGTAAATCAAAGTTCCAAAGTTTTCGCCATAGTAAATCAAAGTTCCAAAGTTTTCACCATAGTAAATCAAAGTTCCAAAGTTTTAACTTTGGTACTATAGTTAACTATAGTAAACTATAGTTAACTATAGTTTACTATAGTATTTTTTTGTTAGGGCTGTCCTGAAATTAACCATTTTGGAAGAGGCATCTAACTTCGTCATAAATATGTACTTAGATCATTGGCATAATACACAGGGCCAAAGGAAAAGACTTTCAAAGAATTCATGCATTTTCACCATATATTCAATAGAGCCCCACTCAACACCAGAACCCCCGAGCCAGGGGCCCTGAAATCCACAAATTCGGAAGATGCATCCTTCCTCTTCATAACTATGTACATAGTTTATTGGTTTAATACCCAGGAGCAGAGGAAAAGATTTTCAAGAAATTATGCATTTTCACTATATAATCTACATAGTCCCGCGCTAGCAATAGAACCCCTGACCCTGGTGCCATGAAATTCACAATTTTGGAAGAGGCAGCCAAATTCAACATAACTATGTACTTGGTTAAGTTATTAAATGGCCAGGAGCAGAGAAGAAGATTTTCAAAGAAATAATGCATTTTCACTTTATAATCTATTGAGCGCCTCCCTAGCACTAGAACCCCTGACCCTGGGGCCATGAATTTCATCATTTTGGTAGAGGACTCAATGTTGTTAACAAGCAAGCCAACAGTTTTACTGCTTGATGTCCAGGAGTAGAGAAGAAGATTTTTTAAGATTGCATTAATTCTTGTGGTTTTTGGCTCCATCCCTCAGGCCCCAGGGGGGGGCCAGGGACCATGGAATTCACAATTTTTGTTCCCTTTCAAACACAAATGCTTTATGCCAAAATTGGTGAAGTGGTTGCAGAAAAGAAGCTGAAAATGTTCAAATGTTAACGCGCGATGCAGAACGCATGACGACGGACTAAAACAGATAGCAATAGGTCACCTTGGTGACCTAAAAATAAACAGTAATAAATTAAACTAAACATTTCACTTACGTGGGTAGTCCCAATCGTTCACAAACGCCATAATACTGTGGAGTAGAGTACCGTGGAGCATAGCCAGATATCCAGGAATTTCCTATTCTGTATTCCACGTTTTTAAAACTTGATGTCAGATTTCTTGTCGAATTTAGCCTCAAAGAATCTACATATTATATATATATACATATATATATATATATATATATATATATATATATATATATATATATATATATATATATATAAAAAGCACTAAAAAACCAACAACACTGTATATCCTAAATGTCGGATCTACCAAGTAGATACATGGTCACGGATGGAAATTAATATAAAGCACTAAAAATGACCAACGACACGAACAATAGAAATTGTCAAATTTTCGGGACGCCCTGTCCCTTCCTCAGGACAAAGAAAAAAGTTAAAAAGTCATAAGAACAAAGGAAAAAAAGAAACAAAAACAACTAGCACTACTACTAAACTACTAAACACTAGATATTTACATACTTAATTACATGATGAATTGGAAATTTTTAAAAACACTAATAAAGAAAGAAATCCGGACCGCTATGAAATGCGTCCGGTCTATCGGGTATACTCGGGCGAAGTGCGATTTACATAATTGAACGAATTAATTATGCTAATTAATTACAACAATCAGTAAATCGTACATTGTTTCATTCTCTCAAAATGGCGTAACTTTACTTAATAAAGAATAATCGAAGAAAAATAATATAGCAGGGATATTTAAACATATGAATTATGATCAATTATAAATTTTGAAATATTTAAGGACTTATTACCGGGAAAAAATAATTAACAAA